GGCTTACCTCAGGTTTACACAGGCTATGCAAGTAGAGCAGAGGTGCTGGCAGGTTCTATCAAGCTGAAACCACTTCAAGAATGGGCTCAGGGATGGCCTGTTATCTGAGAACAAGCCATGATAAACTCAAAGAGGTTGATCACTACGTTGGTCACAGGGTGAGCAATTTCTCTGTCACAATGACTCTCAAAGGTCCGTCTATTAAGTCATAAAAAAGTCTTTGTCTGTGTTGTTAGAAGGACTACCAGTAGTGATGAAATCACTAGTCATTAACGTATTGAAGTATTCCCAATGTGTATCATGAACGTTCTCTTCTAGTGACTTTAGAGTTAACTTTAAGATTGCTACCTTGAGTAGTAATCTAGTCCAACCTGTAGCTGCACCAGAACACTATTTTTTTTTTTGAGTTCCAAATTTGCTCCTTCCCTCACCCATTGAGAAGGCAAGCAATATGATACTCATTATACATATAAAGTCATGCAAAATATTTCAATATTAGCCATGTTGCAAGGGGGGAAGCAAGAAAAATAAAGTACAAAAAATGTGCCCTCAATCTGCACTCAAGAGTTCATCACTTCTCTTTCTGGAGATGGATAGCATTTTTCTTCATGAGTCCTTTGAAATTGTCATGGATCATTGTATTCATCAGAGTAGCGGAGTCTTTCACTACTGATTATCATTACAATTTTGCTGTCACTGTGTATGATGTAGAACGTGCATTATATATAGACTTGAGACCTCCAGTGAAAGGGAACCCTCCACCCTACCCCAAGCGAACACAGGGCTGGTTCTTTGGGGGATATTTGCCTTACATTGAGCCTAAATTAGCCTCTTGGACCTTCATATTTCTCCATATTACACCTTCTGGGGCCAGGTAGAACAAGTTTAATCTTTCTTCCGGGTGACAGCCTGACAAACATGCAAAAATGGCTATCATGTACCTCAGAAGTCTTTTTCTAAAGCTAAACACCCCCATTTCACTTAACTGATTCACAGAGTATAATCCTTAAAGTCTTTTGACATACTGATTGGTTGCCCTCCAAAAAATGTGGCGTCCAGAACCGAACGCAGAATTCCAAATGTGATCTTAGCAGAGTAATGTGTAAGTGAAGTACGACCACCCTCATTCTAGGGCCTGTGGCCTTCAGTCCTGTTGCCCGGGCTGGCCCCCGGCTTCCGTACCTGTCCTTTTAAAATATAAATTGGTTGATAATCATAGATCTAGAGTCGTAAAGGACATCAGAGGTCATTCTAGCCTAACCTCTTCATTTTACATATGAGGAAATTGAGGCCTAGATAGTTTCAAGTACCATGTCCAAGGTCACCCACACAAAGTATGTATTATCTGTAAGATGCAAACCTCAGTCCCCCTGGCTCCAGATTCAATTGCTTTCCGCTGTACCACATTGCCTCCATGATCTTCATGTTTTTTCATGTCATTCTCTTTAGAGACAAGTTCCCCTTTTCCTTCTTATCAGAATTGTTTGTGTCTTCAGAATTTGATTCTTGAGAGCTTCTCATCTCTCTTGGGCTGACTTTTTTGGTGATGGTTGTGGGGGAGACTATTGGTCAGATTATGCCTGATTTTTCTCACTTTTATCACAAGTTTCAGCAAACAGTTCTTCCTTTGGCTGAGAAACAATTTCATAATATCATTTCCCCTTCTTCACTGGCTCTTCCACCTTTTAAAGGTTCAAAATATCATTAACGCAAGTTGAGAGATATTAGCTCCTCTGCTTTGAGCCAAACGTGCTCCAGTGGATGTCTGGAAAAATTAGAGTTCTTCATCTACTATATATAGCATGTCTCTGTGCTGGGCTTCATGCTCTGTTTGCACAACTCTTCATTTATGGCTTCCTTCTGGCCAGATGGTCTGTAGTATAGCCCCAGTGACTATGGTTTCTACTTCTGTCTCCATTGATCCTCACTTAAATGCTCTCCCCCATGTTTCTGTGTTTCCTAAAAGTCCTTACATGAGAATATGCTCTTGTTATGTAGTGCTGCTCTGTATACATATCTTTGTTCCCTTTAGCTATCCTGTTATGTTAACAAGGTATGTAGGGGTATGTGTATTCATGCTTCCATGCACACACACCCTTCTGTTCTAGAAGCTGTGGGTCCCAATGTACCAAGTTTATAAAATTCCCATGAGCTCAAATTTGCCTCTTTGCATTAGTATCTGTTTTCCAATCTTTATGTATTTTTGTATAGATATGTTGGGCCACGGGATTTGTTGCCACTTCCTCTCTTGTCTCCCAAGAATCTCTGAGTATCTCTACTGCTACTGCGTGTCATACTACATTATGACTGCTATCTATACCTAGCTTGGTAGATTTCACCTTCTGCCTTCCTTGACAGGTAGGGCACTTTTGATTATATTTACAGTAGTCTAGAATTTTTTTGTTTTTTACCAGACATTGTTAGGCTAATCACTTAGCTAAGACCCCTTCATACTTTATTTTAAGCCTTGATTTAAAAATTAAAAATCCACTCTCAGACATTATCTTTAAGTATTCGTTTACTTCCTCCTTTTAGTCATAGGTAGCCCTTATTTCTGAATTCTTCTCTAATTCTTGTTTTTGAGTACTGCATTTTAGCATCTATTATGCCTCCACTATTTCCTATAGGAATGAGGCAAGGTAAGAAATGTTGCACTTCTAATCTGACCCATGGTGAGACCTGTGCTGGTTCAAAAGGGAAGACGCCACCACATATTGTAGGCACGAGTTCCATTCTCTCCTCCCTCTGTCAGGATGAGACTTAATTCTTCCCACCAGGGAATGCTGGCAGAACTAATAGTTAGCATCTGTCTATTACCTGGTGAGTGGTCAGCCATGCATGAGGGCTAACAATTTGTAATCCTCATGGTAACTGCTCATCCAGAAGCTTAGGGGGACACTTTATTACTCTGTACTTACAGAGTCTGCAGATGTAGATCTCTACTGATCTCTCTCAAAGGAGGGAGTGTGGAATTGGGGAAAGAACCACCAGCTAGATAGGTGGCCTCAGGGAGGTTACTTAATCCCCTGGGCCATGGCATCCTCATCTGTGAAATGATGGGTCTGTGCCACATTGTCTGCATGGTGCCTTCTAGGCTGAAAATTCTCTCATTCCGTATAAGTAAAAAGAAGACTATCATAGCTTAGAGTCTCATGGCCCTTTGAAAGCCACATAGTTTTGGGTTTATTTTTTTTTCTATACCAAATGTGTATTTATCACATCTGGGGAGAAAAATTGCTCCTTTCTGATTTCAGAGAATTCTTCTTTCCACACTGTCTCAGATGAAATGATATGTTTTACCACCTACAGGAAAAGACAGCCACATAATTGTTAAGGATCTACTTGATATAAGGAAGTCCTCTTCCCCATAAATACACTCAGAAATGAATCCTCCAGCTAATCAGCATTTTAAAATATGCTGATATCCAATCTTTTAGCTCAAACTTTTAAAAGTAGCATTTTATATTTTATGTATTAGTAATACTCAAATTTCATGATCAAATGACTGCACGCACTGAAAAGCAGCATTAGGGGAGTGGGGAAGGAAGAGAATTGGCCAGCTTTGGAAGAACTCTCTTCTACAGCCCTGACTCAGTGTCCATGTGGATTGAGAACAAATCACTTACACTCTCAGTCACCCCAGGTAACTCTCAAAGAGCATAAGTTACAGATGAGTTGTTGGTCCATATAGAAAGCAGTTTTATTTTCTGGAAGTTTCCTATATTGATGAAATCATTGCTGCCTCTTCTCCCCTGCCCCTACCACCCGTTTTTAAAATCAGTTTGAATGTGACCTCTTACCTCCTAGTTCCACCTTTGCTATCTTCTTGTGCTAGCTAGAAATGATGTGACATGTTCAAAAATAATATCTTCTGAGCCCCAAAACGAGCTTGAGGCTGCATTGGCTCAAATAAGGTTTAAGGTGGAATTGTATAAAAAATCCTCTCATTAAAGAGGATCTCACTCTTTTCTGTTAGTTGTGACCAGTTGGTTCAGCTGTTTCGAGTTTCCACGACTATGGTTTCAGGCTCCATGGGGATCAGTTAGTTTCTCTCAGCTCCAAGGCCACACATTCCACCCCTGACCCTACCCAGCCATCTTTCATGTATGCGCTACTGCTCACAAGGGGGATCAGGTGCCAGTCTGGGTGAATCAAGACAAATCCATCACCACTAGGGAGAAAACAAAGTGTGTGTCCTTTGACAGGATTGTCTGCTTATCCTAAGGAAAGATGGAATTCTTTGCACGAAAGAGAAACAAGTAGTCCCAGCATGTGTCTCAGAGAATCATGCTAAACAAGACCCTTCAAAGCAGATAGTTCCTATTGTAACGCAAGTCCCAAAGCCCATTGATATAAGACTCTCTCCTCATTGATGGAGATCTGTGCTCCCTGCCTGGTGAGGGGGGGAGAGAGAAGAGATCCAATCTCTTCAGTCTCCTCAAGTCTCGTCAGCTTCTTCCCTGAGTTTTATTTTCCCTTCAGCAACTTGAAATGAGGTTGGCATCGTCCATCTTCTCTCTCAAAGTCAGAAGCCAAGAAGTGGCTGAAGTGACTGCCGAGCCCAGAGAAAACTCAAGAGATCTGAAAATATTCCAAAGACTAAAGATACCTGAAGAGAGTGAAGAGACTTGAGGAGACTGAAAAGACTGGGCTTCTCCTCTCTCCCACTCTCATAAAACTCTGTCCCGACCCTCATGCAAGTATAGGGCATTAATCTCCACCAATGAGGAGAGTCCCATACCAATGGTCTTTGGAACTTGGCTTATACTATATCTACCTGTATCATGAACACTGCTTGAGGAAATAGACAAAAGGTGTCTGACTGATGAAACTTGCTTCGGTCATCGATCTGCCCCAGAACCCAATTCTTCTGCTGTACTCGTGAATGCCATCTCCTCAAAACCCATTGACCAAAGTTTATGTATGTGTCTGGGGCCACGTTTGCATTTATTTGTTAGCAACCTCCATTTACAAAGCTTACTTTTTTTCCCCCCTCCCAGCCCTTTCTTTTCGGAAGATTCATTTAGACAATCACCATTCACCTCCAATTCAAAAGATCTGCTGCCCAGCGAGTCTGTGCTCCACACGAGAACATCGGCCCCAGGTATGGAAACAGTCTTAACTTTGCTTCTGTTGTTTGTTTGGGAAATGACTTCTGCACTGCAGTGTGTGGATTAGCAACTGCTTTCATCCACTGGGTTTTTTTGGGTTTGTTTCTTTAAACCAGATTCAGAACAAAACACGATGGCTCACACACACACACAATCTAGCTACAAATACTTACAAAAGCTTAATGAAGAAAAATTCAGGAAATGTCATTTCTCCTTTTTTTTCCATTCCCAGTGATTTTTTTTTTCCCCATATGATCCACCTCTGTAATGAATTCCTCTTTCCTTGAAGATAGCTCGCCACAAAGTTGAGAAAAATGTGCTTTACTTTGTGATGGGTTTGGGTGGGTTGCTGAGCTAATGGGGAAAGGAGATGGCTTCCTCAGTGCTGCTCAGCAGGTGGGTCCCAAGGGATGAAAAGAGTTGGGTGGTAGGCGTGTAACTCACTGAATGTTGCCTTCTTGTTCACCATTCTCACCGCCACTTTCCTCCCTTCTCAGCCATGACATCTACTTGCTTTCTGGCCCCGTCCCCTTTACTGCCTCATCCCAGCTTTCATTGTGAACCATGCATTGTGCTAGGTGCTGGAGATATCAAAACAAAACCCAACCAGTCTCTACCCTCAAAGGGCTTTCAATCTACTGGATTCCAGTAGACTTATGATCCAGTTCATTTTTATCCAATATATCTTGGGCACCTGCTATTTGAGTCACTGTACTAGTTTACTGGGGAAGGGGACACAGCAACGAGTCTCTCTATTCAAGAGGCTTGACATCTAGTACATGTTGTATATGGATAACTACCACACAGACAGAAGGTGGCAAGTGCTGTTAGAGAGGTATGGGCAAAGGTCTTTGCTTAGATTTAGCAGTCAGAGAAATCACACTCCCAAAGGAAGTAACCTTTGGTGAGCTGGTCCTTGAAGAATACAGTTATCCCTTCCACATTGCAATTTTCCCCATCGTGGTTCCCCATATACCGTGGGTCAGCATAACTAAGTGGGAATTTAGGGGGAGTTTTGCAGAAGCTGTAGACAACACCTGCGTCTAAACCTCATGATGTGGAAGGGGTAACTGTGGTTAGGATTTCACAAGTGGAGATGGTGGGAGAGCATATTCCTGGCTCAAGTGAGAGAGTATGCTGAGTACTTGGAGAGCAGTGAGGAGTCCAGTCTGGAGGTTGGGGACAGTTGAAGCCCCATTTCCATGTGTCTGTAGGTGTGATTATTGCCTTTGTTGTCCCTATGAGGCTTGTGAGGTACAGGGGAAGGGGGAGGGAACTGAGACTCAGGGGACACCAGAGGAGACTACTTTGGAATGTATAAAGTGACAGCAAGTGGCAGATCCTCCTGCAGGCCAAACCAGCTTCACTGTATGGGTACTGATGTGGGGTCCCCCAGCCTCTAGTTTAGGGTTCACTTCCTAAACAAGGGATACTTAAAGGTCTCTAACCAATTACATTGAAGACTCCAGAAAACCCTGAGTTTTCCTGAAGTACCCACTTTATCTAAGCCCTCTACATTTCTGAGAGTGACCCGCTTAGAACTGGAGACTCTTGCAACTAGAAAGGACTTGGGGAGATCAGTTAAGATAAGCTCCTCATAAGAAGCCTGAGGCCCAGAGAGGTTGAGAGTGTGACCAGGGCCATGCGGCTGGTTGATGGTAGAGCCAAGAGCAGAATCAAAGGCTCCTGACTCCCAGGCTAATGGACTTTACTAGACCCCCTTAACTGAGCCTCCATTGCTTGTGTGACCCTGGCCTGTGAGGCAGTGTCATGTGTGTGACAGAGTGGGATGGAGGGCCGTGCTTAGAGTTAGGAACACCTTAGTTCAAATCCTGCCACTGCACATGTTGTCTGTGTTGAGTTGTTGAGTCATGTCTAACTCTTCGTGACCCTATTTGGGGTTTTCTTGGCAGAGATACTGGAGTGGTTTGTTATTTCCTTCTCCAGCTCATATGACAGATGAGAAAACTGAGGCAAACAGGTTTAAGTGACTTGTCCAGGGTCACACAGCTAGTAAGTGTCTGAGGCTGACTCTGGGCCTGGTGGTCTCTCCACTGCACCATCTAGCTGCCCTACTGGCTGTGTGACCCTGGGAAAATCAGTAAACTCAGCATCCTGGGCAGCTTCCTAAGGCTGCAAGTTAAAGAGGAGTTTGCTAATCTATTGCCTGTGATCAAATCACAATTCTGAATCACCCCCCTCCCGAAGGTTTTAGCCTCTGTAGGGAGCATTTCCAAGTCTCCCATGTGCTTCAATAGCCTGGCACTATAGAGATACTGGAGGGGGTTATTTTGCAGTTAACACAGCATAGAGTGGCCCCTTCTGAGATGTTCAGGGTTAGGTGGGAGGGATGGCAGAGTGGGGTAGAATATATAGTGAAGTCACTGAAAGTGCTTTTCACCAGCACCAAAGAAGAGGCTACTGATTAATTCAGTCGAATTCTATAAACCATTATTAAGCACCTACTGTGTTCCTGCTATGTCTCCAGGGTCACAGCCATTATGCCCAGCTCCATCTCTCCACTTCCCCAGACGTCTGGATTAGAAGCCAAAGAGGCCTCTATCCAACAGATATTTACTTGGTTGCTATTTTAGTTTTTCAGATATTTCTCATATTCGCTCCTATTTCACACACTTCAAATGAGCCTCTCTCACTGAGAAAATATATTCTCTGATAGCTGGTTATAGAAGTATAAAAGGATTTTTGCTTAGTTTGTGCCTTTATTTTCGAACAGGGGCTGTTTGAACCACTGTCTCCTTCCCACAACGTAGCTCTGAATGGCCAGCTCCCCCAGCCCCACCCTACCCCCCAGGATTATTGCTCTGCTATGAAGCTGATGGATTGTGATTTCCTAATGTCAAAATAATGCTTAGGAATTGTTTCTCAGTAGTGCCATGACCCATACTGTCAGTGGCCACATGATATATACATACAAACATTACTTTGCTTACATCGGTGTTTGTTTTGGCACTATTTAGTGGATTGCATTTACTAGTTAAATTGAAACTGGACCTCCAAGTGGGATATCGGGATTTCTGTTGCTATGCATACAGAATCCACATCTTTCTGGGTTACTGGATGAACTTGAGCTATGAGCTGGAGGAAAGACTGACTCTGATTTTGTTTTTTTGGTCTGTTCAGGTTTTGTTTGTTTTTTAATGTAAATCTCCTTTAGTTCGGGATCTTTTGCATGGTGTTTTTTTTCAACAAAATATATGTATTTTTTAATTACTGAATTTAAATTCTAGAGTTAAAGGACAAATGAATTCTTCATTGTGGATGCACCACTTACTGATGGTGGCTCCTCTTGGATATGTCCGTGAATTGCTCTGGCCAAATAAGTTTAGTGCCCGATGGCTAAAGTGGCACTAAGCCTCCCTGAGTGTAGCTAGGTAGATCTTCAGATGACAGACACAGCGCCCCTCAGACATACTCAACAGGCCTTCCAACTGGTTGGGACCTGGCAGGGTTGGCACTTTGTTAACGGAGCAAAGGCTTATATTTATATTTCTATAAATAGCAAAAGGAAATGAAAGAGTTGTCTAGTTCCGGTTTGCTTTGGTTTGTTTAACAGATAGAAACGTCTTGGAAAATGGAGCTTCAAGTTGGAAACACTATAATGGCCCTGTTAGGCAGGTACTTTGAAGTTTTATCATGTGTGAGGTTTTAAGGCACAGGCACTACACAGAGAGAAAGCTTACTCCTTGGACTAATTGTAGCAAATGTCACTCTGAATCAGTGAGAGGTCTGAAAACGTCCCAAGGAATCTGCTGTTATATTTTCAAGGCTGTTGAGCGATTTAAGTTAGACAAAGTATTGCCTTGTAGAAGATCGTTCATTATTCAGCAAACGTTAAAACCCCATAGCCTGTCCAATTTATCCTAGACACTTCATCAGGTTAAAAAAAAATAGAAGATACAATCCCTACCATTGAGTAGCTTATGGACTTTTTTTTTTTTAGGTGGGGGGGTAGCTATATAGAGAGTCTCTTAATGTAATTTTAGGAAGATAATCTGGTAGGAATGTGTTTAGTGGCATGGAGAAGAAAGAGACAAGAAATAAGAAGCCAAATTAGGAAGCTATTATAAAAGTCCAGCCAATGAAGGATGGTGGCAATGAGAATCAAGGGAAGACTTGATTAGTGACTGATTAGATGTTCATAGAAATGTGGGGGTGGGGGGACAGAAGGAAGAATCAAAGGTTAACCCTTAAGTCAAGCCTAAAATATGACTCCATTGATGACAGCAACACCCACAAAGAAAGTCAGTTGAGAGGAGGGACAAACCAGCAGGAATATATAAGAATACTTTTACTCATGTTGGATGTACCCTATATGGAGGATTAATTTGTGTGATAATGGATACTTCTGGTGGATTTAAAAACAATTCTGTTGAGTAGTTTAAAGATTTTTGCTAAAATCTTAGTTGCTTAGCAAACCATTTCCTTATACAGATAATGCCAATGTAAACTTCATCCTAGGGCATTATCACAAATTTCCAGTTAATGTAGACTGTAATTAATGAGGTTTTCTTGTGGTCATGTCCTGGGGTCGAAGAAGTCCCATGCTTGCTCATATTGGAATAAATGCTAAAACTATGATATCATTTCAGCAATGAAAAAAAAAGTATGAATGAGATGCTTTTTTCTAAAGGACTTTGGATAATGTCCTAGGTTGCCTGGGGTGTCTTTGGAGAACCAAAGTATCCTAAAGACAGAGTAAAGCAGGATTAATTTGGAATAAACAAATCTCAATAGACAAGGAGTTCTGCAGTGGAATAATTGCAGTGAGCACAATTCATTCATTCCTCATGTGCTTAGTAATTACCTACTATGTGCTAGTTACTGTTCTGGATGCTGGAAATAGAACAAAAAGGAGAGAGCCCCTGCTGGTATAGATAGGGCTTTTGTTCTGCAGGAGGAAAGGGCAGATACTCAAGCTGAGTTTTGAGAGAGCAAAGGATTCCATTTCAGTGAAGTGGGGCCTGTGGAATGG